TTTTTTTTGGTCTTTTAGCAAGGTACAAGAAAATGATTGAAAATGGTGGTGGTTATAACATATCTGATATAAATTGTACATTGGATCAAGGAATAGATACATATGTAAAAGTCTTGTCATACTTACTGGAGATAAAACTTATGCCTTTAGATATTTTGAAACATATCAAACATGATTTAGGAACAACTTCAGGTTTGGATCCAATACAACACATTGTACAATTTGGAGCTATGTATGGTCTTCCAGAATGGGCTTGCACGGTTACTGCTGTTGATAATATTAGATATCTGTCGTTTTTCTTTGGCTGTGAAATGTGTGGTATTCAACACGAAGGAAAATGTGCTTATGAGTATACTAGAGAACTATTCTATGTTCTATTTTTTTCACAAGTGTCTAAGGAGTTCGGTGCTAATAACAGTAACATTATCTTTTTCAGACATTGGTTACAGATGATTTCTAAGTGTGGTCGTGATGGTTGGCGTGGTCATATTCATTTCATTTCAAGATTACAATCTAAATGCAGTATACTTCCAAACAGAAATAAGAGAAAACTAGGTGATTAGAAACGTATTAAAGACATTTGAATTTGATTTTGCTTGTTTAGTTTAAAGTTAGTGAGTGAGTTGAGTTAATGTTCGTGTGGTTGAGTTTTATAGTTCTTCTTGTGAGTAAACATTTTAAACCTTAGTGTGACGTAGCCTTATCGCAGTAGCTTTCCTTTCATATTATTTCTTCTATTCTAAAGTGGAATGCATACATGTGTTCTGGAATTGAAGCACACTAAAATATTCAGTGAAGGTGTAGCATTTTTTTTGAAAATTGCAATCTCAAAACAAAAAACGATCTATTCTTGAATCATGTCTCACTTTGATCTGGTCGTAAATTAAATCAAGTCAGTTGCTACAATTTAGCTTGTTCTATGTCATAACTACATTAGAAAAACAACTCAAAGTTATATATCGTTACTATAATTCTAAATCAAATTAAAACTGTTTACTATAGGTATTATATGAAATGAAAATTAAAAATATATGCACAAAATAAGGTCTTGAGTTGTATATAAGTTATACGATTGTATACATTCATATCAGAGGATTTCAGATAATTTCAGAAATCTCAAACAAATAATCTCCAAACTTTTTTTTTTT